CAGGAACAGACACCAAGACAGGTCATGCCTGTACTGATAACAGGACGCCTTCAGTTAGGGCCATCTTGGGGGGCCCCAGGGAGGCCAGAGCCCCATCTGGGTTCCCTTCCATTTTCCCAGCCAGCTCCCAACTGAGACTCTCCACCCCCTCCTCTCTGGCCTTTGTCTCTTTCCCAGGCCAGGTGGTCACCTAATCTCTTTGTTCTCCAACATCTTCAGCTGGCACCTTGCAGGGGAGGGGCCCAGGCCATTAGTTGCCAGGAGACAGAGTGCCGGCCATTCTCTGTGCCGACAGTATCACAGGGGCCTTCTTGGGCTCTGCAACAATCATACACCCTGATCCCCTCACCTAGATACCTAAGAGATGCATAGGGGAAACTGAGGCACTCACACAGTATTCAGAGAAAACATTAAGAACAATCCCACTTTGTCACACGCTCCCAATGGAGCAATCCTGCAGGACCTAGGTTTCCCGGGGCTGGGTTCTTCCAGCCCCAGAATCAGACGAACACACACACACACACACACACATTAGCAGCGCGTGTCTGAGAGGACCGGGTTAATCAGCACTCCCAAGCTGACCCCTTATATGTCCCTGGACTCAGCAGGCTGGGTCGAGCAGCACTTCCAAGCTGCCGCCCTCATATGCCCCAGGTTCAGCACGTCCCTATCCCCACTTTCACCTTACAGTTGTTCTGGTCGTAACTCACTTGATGAGCAAACCCCACCAGACTTTTGGGTGCTGCAGGGATCTTTTAGCTTTGGCATAGGCGCCAACTTTCTCAGCGCCGGTGGGTGCCTGCGCCCCCCGCCCGTTTCCCGACCCCTGGCCCCGCCCTGAATCCACCCCATCCCCGCCCCTGGCCCCGCCCCCATTCCAACCCCATCCCCAAAGTCACGCCCCGACCCCGCCTCTTCCCCCAGGGCACCGTGTTCCCCCTCCTCCCTCCCTGCCCCATGAATCAGCTGTTTCGTGGCACAAGTGCTGGGATGGATGGGGGAGAAGCAGGACGCGGCGGAGCGCTCGCGGAGGAGGTGGAGGTGAGCTGGAGCAGGGGGGCGGGGCGGGGCCACGGGGAGCTGCCGGAGCAAATGAGGAAACCAAAAAACATCCACGGGGGAGAGGGAGAGAGAAGTAACCACCTTAACCATGAAAGTTATTTATTACCAAGTAATAACCATAGGGGAGCCAAACAAACAAAACAGTTATAATATTAAATCTAACAAGTTTGATTATAAAAGTCAGGTTTACAAAACTAACTGATCAAACAAGTCAGGGTCAGAAGGCTATACCGAGAGAAAGACAGAGAGAGAACTGGGTTCTCACCGCTCCGTGAGGTTTGAATCGATCGGGGGTCCCAGGTGGTGGTGGTAGCTCAGGGTCTGGAGTGCTGGAGACAGGCAGAGCCCCCAGCACGGTCAGTCAGAAGAAGATGAAGTCCCAGTGGAACCGATGCAGATTTTGATCCAGGCATCAAAACACATACTTGAGCTTGGGTCAGGGTTTTTGTAGAGAAACAACAATGGTCCAAGGGAGAACACTAGATTTGTTTGTGTGTAAACACGCGAGAATACCAAAGTTGTTTTATTCAGGCTAGACATGGGAGCTGATCATTCCTGGCTTTGGGCGGTGTTCCTTGGAGGGAGTTCACAATGAAATTCACTATTTTGGAGACCAATAAAGGATTTATTACTAGAATTGGTCAGATAACTGCTGAGCTGGGTGTGTGCAGGTGTGAGCTCATTAACGTCTGGAGCAGAGATCCCCCACGATGCATTGCTTCCCTGCTTTTCTGGTCCCAGAGTTCAGTGCGGTTCTTGCCTTGGAATCTCTGTCCTCCATTCTGTATGCAAATGGAGATACCTCCTTGTCCCATCTTCGATGCAAATGAGGCTAGGGGAGTTTCCTTAATTCTGTCACCCTTATCCCAGGGGTTTAGGTGTGTCTCCAACGGCCTTTTCATTGCTTTTTGTAAGTCTTTCTTCTGATGCAGGTTTGGTTCAAGCGGACGTGGAGGGGGGGGTGTCTTTCGTGAGTCAGACAGGCTGGGTACTGCGCCCTGGTTCCCCAAGAACACAGAGCTGCTAGTAACAACCTGTCCTCCATGAATTTATCCAGTTCTTTTTTGAACCATGTTATAATTTTGGCCTTCACCACATCATCTAGCAAAGAGTTCCACAGGTTGACTGTGCATTGTGTGAAGAAATACTTCCCTTTGTTTGTTTTAAACCTGCTGCCTGTTAATTTCATTTGGGGACTCCTAGTTCTTGTGTTATGGGAAGGAGTAAATACCACTTCCTTATTTACTTTCTCCACACCGGTCATGATTCTATAGACCCCAATCATATCCCCCCTTAGTCGTCTCTTTTCCAAGCTGAACAGTCCCAGTCTTAGTAATCTCTCCAGAGCTGGTCGCTCGCTCACATGTTGTTTTTTTGTGGGAAGACTGAAGCAAACAGACATTGAGCAGCGCTGCCTTCCCACCATCTTCTGTCACCAGCTCGGGATTTTCTGGCCAAGCTCATGACTGTTGGAGAAAATCTCAGGTTTTTTTTCACCAATTTAGGGATTTTTTTAGCTCACGATCTCTCAGGACCGTCTGGTGATTTGGGGTTTTCTGTGTATGTGTGTGTGTGGGGGGGGAAGTCACTGCGCTGCCAGCAGCCCCAGATCAGCCCCCTGCAGAGCCCAGCAGTACTGATGGTCCCCAGGGAGATCTG